TTGCCGAGAATCTGTTCAGTAGAAAAGTAAAACTGAGAACAAGACAAAACATGTTATGTTGGAGTCTACGCCACTGGACCTGTTCTGGAAAGTGATTTTTTTTTTATCAGCAGGTGCTGAGATGTTGAGTCACCTGGTGCACATCTTTAGAAGTGTGTGTTCTGGCTGCAGTGGTGATATTAAAAGAACATTAGGACCAGAGCTGAGGGGACAACAGACACTGCTGTGTTCACTAAAGAACACCACACCACAAGAACCTTTTATGGAGAAGGTTTAAAGGCCGGAATTGAAATCTGAAAAGATTTTTGTTTGATTACTCATCACATTTTGGATACACAGAATGGCATTATATATTAAATATTATACTTACCCAGTATTTAGAAATGAAATCCCTTTTTATAGCCACAACAAGTAAGTAGTCTTCTTATACCAACAGTAGGTGGTATATTTCAACATTTTTTCCATCTTTTTTTCTGTTCCTGGTGATATTGTTGTCCCTGAATATACACATACATTTATGTAAACTCATTTTTATGTAAAATGTGAAAATACACTGCTACCCAAATTTGTGTTTGAGTTTGAGTTTGCTTTTTTGCACATGAAGGTGATAGGTGCAAAACTCTGTATGTATCAGGACAGTACACATACAATATTTAAAAACACATCTGAGTGTAGGCAGTACTCAGCACCTGGCTTACTGTCACCTCTGGCTTCAAAGCATCCTTTGAAATGTTTGTTTTGATGACTGAATATTTGCAAGATATACAGACTTTTATTATTATTATTATTATTATTATTATTATTATTATTATTATTATTATTATTATTAAATAGACTATTCGGAAACCTTCAAGAAATTAACAGGATAATCAAACACTATTCCCTTGGTGTTGTGTTCATTAGCATATATCCTGCCCTCTGTCTGTATTTCTATCTTTGGAATACGTCATGTAATTTTAATGATTTTGTCCTACAGCCTACAGAACAGTAGTGTGCAAAGTAGGATGAAATGTTAGTGAATAGTTGACTCTGTGAACATTTTTTTTTCTTCCACAAATTCAGTTTTGAGTTTTGCCTCCTTCGCTGTCTTAAGAACAGTGAGATCAAAGCAAACCCAGATTCATCTCTGGGTTTATAATTAAAAGGAAAAGCTTTAAGCTGAGCTGCACAAGAGAAACAGCAGCAGGAGATATGAGCTGAAAAAAAATAAAAAAATAAACACAACTGTACTGTTGTCTTCTTCCCTCCGTGCCTGGTCTTTGTGGGGGAAGCAGAGCAGATGTAGTAATGAGGGCAGGAATAAAGGATATGGATCCACGGCTACAGTAGCTGACTGTGAAGCTCCGAGACAGGGTTTATAAAAACTGACAGGAATCACGCACTTCTGTAGTTTCTTTTCCGTGTGTGCAAAAACAAGTGAATGTAGCAGTTGTGAATCAGAAAAAAAGCAACGAGTTCAACTTTATTTGGAACCCGTGATCCTCCCCAGTATTACAGCTGACAACTGAATGAACAATCAGGCCACACACACTACAGACTTGTTACTCCACGGATCTCAGTGTGTGTCGAGTCAGTGTCTGTAGATTGGTGTCTTCTGTTCGTATACTTTAGGTGTCACGGTGTTAAAAATAGACTCACAGACTTATCTCAATTCTCGCTCTGACAGGTAGGAGAGTCAGACCTCTCTCTGTACCAACATTTCTCTCTCTCTCTCTTTCTTTGCTCATGCTGCCTTTGCGGCTGCTTCCTGTGTCCACTGCTGCTCCACGCTGGAGCACTAATGAGCCGGCAGAGGAGCAGATCTCCCATCAGCTGAGGAGCAGCAGCAGCAGCGGTTCTGACAGCATCGGAGGCAACAACAAGACGGAGAACTGATCTGCAGTCAGTGGGGAAGCAGCAGCGGTGGTGAAAAAGCCAATGACAGCATTTGGATAGGAGGAGGAGGAGGAGGTGGAGGAGGAGGAGGAAGTGGGGGAGTGGTTGTGAGGTGGCTTCAAAGGCAAATCAGCAGTCAGATGTGAGAGTGGGAAGAGAGGAGAGGAGAGGAGAGGAGAGGAGAGGAGAGGAGAGGAGAGGGGACGACTGCTTCTGTCAGTGCAACAGCCGACCTGCTCCACACTGGCAGTCTGACCCGCAGTGTACTTCTGTCAGTTTGTGAAGACGAAGGAGTTTTACTCCCACCTCCTTCAGGAGCCATGGAGGAGATGCTCACCTGCAGCCGAAGTCCTTTCTCTCAGGTGTTTGGGCGTCAGGGGCAGCTCATGCAAGCCAGTGAGTCATTATTATTATTATTATTATTATTATTATTATTATTATTATTAGTAGTAGTAGTAGTATTGATGTTATTATTATTTCCTTTTTATGTGTAAAATTGAATTATTTTTTCATTTTGTTTGGAGTTGAATTCATATAGAGAGATTTAAACATATACTGAGTTGTTATTGGACGTGAGTCTGATGGAGATGGAGCTGCTGTGTAGAAGGGTGGTGGAGGGAATGGCTGTTAAAAAATGTGCAGACAAGTGGATGTTAAGGTGAAGTTGGAGTGATCTGCTGTGAATAGACTGTCTGGAAGGTAAATCTCTAAAGATTGAGGTCTGGATTTACTCATTTATTGTTTAATTAGATGATTTCAAACATATTCCAACATGGACATCCCCCTCTCACCCCCCGCTGTTGTGGTTCCGTCAGTATCAATTGGATTAGATTATTGGGATTGAGGATCCACATAAAGGCAGATTATGGATATGGAAAACTTTTGAGACATGAATCAATCCCAAACTAAAACCCCTTGGATTTGGTTTGCATCACAGTCCAGTCATCTAGGCTGGATCTAACCCACCCACGGAACACATCTGGCCCATCCCTGTCTGTGTCCTCTCATGTCTTTTTATTTGTACAGCCTTGATTTAAAAAAGACACATTTTGCTTTAATGGAATTTACACTGGAAATTAAATTAAATAAAAAATTATTATAATATATATATTTATATATTTTATTATATTATATATTTCAATATAATATATTATTATTATATTCAAATGACTGGATGAATCCTGATGTGATGTGAACCTGTTCATACAAATGAGATGTAAACCTGATAATGACCTGAACTAGACCAGAATTACATCCAGGATTTTTCTTTTCAACTTTTCCAGATTATTTTAATTTCAAATGTAAACTATTTGTCAATTACAGGATACATTTTTTTCTTATTTGTTTCTTGTCAATCAAATTAATTACAGTGTGATTCACTTCAACACCAGCATGTGTTCATTTTAATCTAATGTGATGTTCCTTTTGGGCCGCTCCAGTGTGTGTGTGTGTGTGTGTGTGTGATTTAGTTAACCATTAAAGACCACTGTTACTAAATGTTCTTACGGCAACACTGAACCTAATGGGGGTCAAATCCCAAGTTCCACTGAGGCAGAATCTCATTTCTGAGATTCTCATTAACAGTAATTGTAATTGTAATGAGGTCAGTGTTTTAGTCTTCATTCCCACCAATGAGGTGGACACGAAGTGCTTACAGTGCAGCTTAGGAACCTGGTCCTGGTTCTACTGTGTGAACAAATGCAGGTTGTTGCAGAATCTGTTTTTTGTTTGTTTTTGTGTGTGTGTGTGTGCATCTGTTTTGTGTGTGTGTGTGTGTGTGTGTGTAGGGACTGGCTTCACTTTAAATACAACCCTTTAATCATCAGACAAAAAACTACAATTGATATAATCAGCATTAGTCACAGAGCAGCTTGAATAAACACAATAGTACAGAAACAACATCTTTAGTCAAAAGTCTAATGTTGGTGGACATGTGTTTTATACAAAACCTCAAAGCTCTATCATATATATATTTGATTAGTTAGTTTTTAATTTCCAAACACCTGAAGGCTGTTGTGGGAGCTGGTGCTAATTAATCTTACAGTTTTCTGTTTTTCCATCCCTTTTGTAACTGCACTGCTGTTGCTGTGGAACCCAGTTGTGATCAGATTAATGCAGCAGGCATGGTCTCATTGATTAGGTGGATTCCAATAATAGAAATGACGCTGTGTTTAGAGTGGGGAATGCAAGAGAAAATCAATGCAAAAGACATTGTGCGTGTTTGATTGTGGAGCTTTTTATAGAAGATGGACGTCCTTTTGAAGGCTAATTTTACAGCTGCGTGGAAGTGAACTCTGGCTAACAGTGTCACGGGTTGACTCACTCACTCTAAGAAGTCCCACAGACAATAATGCGGCAGGGCCAGAGGGGGCAGAGTTTACTGTAAAAAGTTTAGGTTCAAGTATTTCTTCATTTGGAGTGATCAAGAAGGATAGAATTTGAAAAAGCAGATCAGAGAACAGCTAAGGTGACGAGGAAGGTGTGGTTAAAAAGAACATGAAGATGGTGACGGTTCCAAAGGACAAGGTCAGAGACAGGTTAAAAAGCAATCCTTGAAGAACATTTCCTTTAGTTGTCCGACTCAACTTCCAAACTTGTGCCAAACATCCGTGCTGGTACATTGACCCCCCTGCGACGTCTTATCAGCCACAGCGTAGCTGAGACTGCTGGTGTATTGAAGCAAAGTGCCCCGCCGAGGCTGTGAAAATGAAATTATCACTGTACGTGCTGTGGTGAATTACAGTCACTCTGGCTCTCCTCGGCTTATCTATGCTCTTTGAAGCCTCGACTGCGCCTCACATCTGCACCTTTGACTGTGTGAGAGAGAAACGTGGAGAGGAGCTGCGGGCAGAGGAGGAGATGGAGGCGCACAAAGTGGGCAAGAGACGAATAAGAGACAGCTTTTTTTTCACTCCCTCCTTCTATTTTTAGCAACATTCTTATACGCCTTTACCGGGCCTTTAGAATAGTACCGGTAATCCACTGTAGCGCTGGTTGCAGACAGCAATTATAGAAGGATTTTAGTTATCTTTGGTCACCCATCGGTGCATCACAAGTCCCTCAGCTCTGGGTAAAGGACTGAATCGGAGAGAGAGAAAATCCATTACAAGTGTTGCATATTCCTAAAATCCTTAGTATTTAAATCCTTCCAAGTACTACCCCGACTGAATATTTCTGTGAATGCCATTCACGCAGCAGGTGCTTAATCCTGGCACGCTGCTGCAGGGCTCCTCTGGTGATTGCTGCTTTGCTCAGCAATGAAAAGTTTTCATTCTGAAAAAACCTCAGGTGATCTGAGGAGCATAAAATAGAACTGGAACCATGATCTTTGTTGGGTTTCATCAAACTTCAGGATTTTCCCTTTAGTACATATACAACATTAGTGTACATTAGTGTTGGAAATACATTTGCATTGCATAACTTCGTAAGTTCTTACCTAGTTTTTACATGGCTAACGATATTTAGCGTGCATTATTTATTGCTACTTAGTGGCTAACTTTGTGTATTTCTGTACAGGTTTTATCATTTTATAAATAACCTTTAGATACATGTTGCTATTTTTTTATAGTTTGGCCCAAACTTTAGTTAATAATTCTTCAAAGCTATTTTTGGTCTTTTGGTTAAGGTTTGGCTTTTGTCCAGCTGATTTACAGGCTGCTTTGTTTAGTTAAATTTTAGCTACACTAAGTCTTAGTTACGTTTTTGGTGAAGGCAGAGTTTTATATACATTTTATAATTTAATGTGTTTGGTATCCATGTTTTTTCAAATAAAAAAAATGTTATTCTTCTTCATAACTTATATTTCAAAATGTAAAATGTTTATATAGGAATTGTTAAATGTAATGGTAAAAATCTATTTTAGACAACAATAACTTTCAATTTATACTAATGATTTGGTTCAGGTAGTATTATCAGTCTTCAGGTTTCAACTAGAATATAGTTCAGAATGAGAAAAAACATCATGACCTGACATGGAAATAAATTATTTAAGTAAGAGTAAAACATAAAGAAAATAAAATATATCTAGAAAAAAGAGAAATGACGTGTGTGTCTGTGTGTGTTGTGTAAACAGAATATGTAATAAGGAGTCAGACTGAGTATCACTGGAAATGAGTCATGGTGTCGTAAAACTAAAAATAGAAGTAAGTCCCTGCACAGCCACGGAGAATGGGATCTGAAATTTGAATACGTGACCACTGCAGGTGGAGAACATAACTCAGCTCCTCTTTAAAGCTGATTCATTCTTCTCATTCCTCCACCAGTGCACGCGCACAAAATTGACGCACTTTCCTTTTTCTGCAGGAGGTTGTTAGCTCCACGCTCCTCATGTTGGTAATCACGCTGCCAAAGTCAGTACTGATATGAAACGAAGTTCAAAAAGATTTAATCAGTGGTATAGTTAAATCAAACATCGAGACTCTTCAAAATGAACTAAGTCAGGATAAAGGAGAGGATAAATCAATTCACAAATTTCAGAAAACATTCTGTGTGCTCAGCGAGTGTAGTAATAATATACTACAATATAATAATATAAATAATTTGGCTTTTACTCTGTGCTGTGCTTTGATCCTGATTTAATTATGTGTGTGTTAGCTCATGCAATTCTTTCTTTGTCATTCTAAGGTTTTAGCAAATGATAACTTGCATTTAGCTATATTTACTTTACTTTATCGTTGGCCTGAATTTGAACTAAGTAATACGTGTTTTTCTTAGGTGTTTTGTAGCCATTCCAATCTAGGTTTTGTTGTATTTTAGCTTTTTTAATTCCAGCCTTGCTTGCTAACGTTAAGTGACTTTATGGTCCGACCATTAGCTGATCTGGTTAATCATGTCATAACATCAAAAACGACTTGAATATGTCTCAGCTCCTTTTCCCTGAAGTTTATATCAAAGAGGAAGAAGTTTGATTATATAAAGGCAACGTAGACTGACATAATTGGTGTCTAGACAAGTTACTGACAGGTCAGTGCAGGTCAGTCATCTGCATCACTGGACTGACCACGACTCGCTTTTATGAGTCATAAATCAAGATGCTGCATTGTGTGAAGGTTAATCCAGTAAAAACATCAGAATCAAATGTGAATTATTGGGCGGCCGTGAGGCTGGAGCAAATCACTGACCACGTGGAGGTTCGGTGTGACTCACACGGCGTCCGGTGACTGTGAAACGGGAAGTGAGGAGTTCAATTAGGCAACATTTTGACCTCTTGGTCAAAAGAAGTAGCAAAAAGTCAGTAACCTCACGTAGCATACACAGTTTCAGGAACAAATATATTTGACGACATTAAAAAAATGTAGCTTGGGTTAGCATCAAGCTGTTGGTTTAACAATATCATTTTCATTACTATTAATACAGACATGAAATCACCTAAAATATAGATGTAGAATTACTCGTGA